TCCTGGTTCACAGGCTAAAGCCAAGGATAAAAGAGAAATTATCCAAAAGTTAATATAAAATACATATATGTTTCCTTCACATTCAGAAAGACATTTTCAGCATGTTTGGCTCTGACTCGTAGCATCTTTATAGCTAAATACCAACATGGTGAATCTGAGCTGGAAACAGACTGAAGAACAGCAGCTCCAGCTCTGATCCTGACTGATCTTTCTTAACTAAATCCTCTGGTTTTTAATTAACTTCTCCTCTAACAGCAGTTTATCATCAGCTCTCTCTCATTAGAAAACAGTATGAAAACGTTAGCTGCTACGCTAACAATCAGAGGTTATTTTGGGCCAGTTAAGCTACATAGGAAATATTTTTCGGTTGTTTAGAAGCGAATTTCTGGCTGCAAAGTCAAGTAATTCTGATCTTTCATCCTTACCTGTGAAAGGTAATGCCAATGAATCCAGTTTGTTTCGTAAAACAGTTGAAACAAGTCCACACAGCACAGGACTTAAGGAGCTCCGATCGCTCTGCTGCCACATAGAAGATGGTGGACGCTTTTACGTACGACTCAGCGCTCCATGAGGCATCTACGTATTGATGTCTATGTTTCTCCCACCCAGCAGAAACGTCTCAGCTTCAGTTTCTGCTGCGAGAAGTTCAGTGGTGGAGAGTCGAAGCTCCTCAGGCAGGTCAGGTCAGCCATGTTTCTACTCACAGAAACACGACCAGATCTCGTGAGAATACCAGAGTCCTGATTTTATCCTTTCTCCACGATCATCCATCAGGCTCCAGGTTACCAAATGCTTCTGACTGCTATAGAAATATCAATAACATATAGATATGTCATGATGTCTGGATCTGTTGCAACGGTAGCAACTTTAGTTAGAGTAACTGATTCTCATAGAAAATTCAGTGGAAGGAAAAACTAATTTGCGTTACAGCTGGAGTTTGTTTTCTTATTAAAATGTACTTTAAATTTTAAATGATGTTCTGTACATTACATCAAACAAATACACTTCAATGTATCAGATTACACTTAAAAAGGAGAAGAAGACAGGAAGGGGGAAGAAACTGAAACTGAACCAAAGAGAAACTGAAAGACTTCCAGGAATCCTGGAGAATTATTGATAACAGGACAGTCTGTCTGCTTAAAGGAAAAAGAAAAGACAGAAACTGAACTAAAACTGATGTTCGGTTTGAACATTCCCGACCAGCAGATAATGTTCAGACCGACTGGTGAAAAACATCTTATTTTTTTCCCTGCAGACGTCCAACAGCAACATGTCTGCAAACAGGAGATGGTTCTGAAACAGGAGGACTCTGGTCTGGATCAGGAAGAACCAGAACCTCCGGATATTAAAGAGGAGCAGGACGAGCAGAACCAGACTCCTACGGACGAACCAGAAAAACCAAACAAGCGTGAGTTCTGTGGGAAAATCCAGAAATAGAAGTCGTCCAGGTCCTGAAGCATTAAGTTAATACTTTAAATCCAAACATGGACTAAATTATTCTACACCAAAAACAGAGTATTTGAAACCTGGTTTGAGAAACCTTGATTTATTTTGTCATGGTCCTTTTATGAACGTCCATCTGTCAGATCACAGAACAGACGGATTTGGTCAGAAGAGTCACTGAAGGCCGATTTGATGACATGATTGGAGATTAATTTATAGAATAATTGATGTGAATGCAGCATATGAAGAATTTTTAAGAATATTTAAATTACTAAATAATAAGAACTGCCCAGTTAAGGAAAATGAGATGAAAAGCAGAAAAAGGAGCAGCGGATTGCAAAACGCATGTAAAGAAAAATAATAATAATAAAAAACTTTTTAGGGAATTTATAAAACAGGAGAACTTCTGAATTAGAAAACAAATATAAGAAATATAAAAATAAGTTAACTGATATTATAAAGACATGTAAAAAGGAATATTACAATAATACAAAGGAAACATGGAACATTTAAAATAATGTTATCAGGAAAAGTAATTATCTGTGGGGTTTTCATATATCTAAAGAAAGCTTTTGACACAATAAATCATATTTTGGTTAAAAAATTAGAACGTTGTGTAGTTTTGAACTGGATGAATAGTTATTTAAAGAGCAGAAAACAATTTGTGAAAATGGAGATACTGAGTCTGATTGTCTGGAGGCTGCATGTGGGGAACCTCAGGGTCAGCACTGGGACCAGTTTAATTTAATTTAAACTTCCAACAACTTCTTTCCATAGTCGCCTAAATCAGTAAATTAAACATTGACAATAATAGATTACCACTAAATTTGAACAAGACTTTTATCATGGTTTTTGGAAATTGTTACAAAAATACTCAAATTCAAGGTCAGACAGAAGATAGAAAGGGTTTATGTATTTTGTTTCTCTGTGTGATAATAAATGATAAAATCAGTTGTAAACCTCAAATTAAACATTTACAGAATAAACTAAGCAAATCAATCCTTGCTAAAGCCAGACATATTCTGAATAATAAATCACTTCATATTCTTTATAACTCTCTGATTTTGCCATATTTAACATTTTGTTCAGAAGTGTGGGGAGTTAATTAGTAAAGCTCTTTACATTCACTGAGTATCCTACAGAACCGAGCCGTTAGAATCATAATGTTAGTTGTTATGAGACCACAAACCCGTTATTATTTAAAATCTTTGATTCTTTAATTTGAAGACCTGGTGGGATTAAAAATAGCTGAAATTATGTTTAAGGAATCTAATAAACTGAGCTCTGACAGAGCAGGTTTAATGAAAGAGAACGAGGATAAAACTTAAACTCAAACTTACGGATTCTGAGTTTACCAACAACAAAGAGCTTCTGTACTTCAATTCATGGGGTAAAGTTATGGAACAAGTTAAATTAGGAGTTAAAATAAAGTCAAAATTTAATACAATTTAAGAGGAAATATAAGGAAGTCATTTTCACAAGATACAGAAATATGGGTGAACGTTAGCATTACTGTGTAAATTGAGGCTAACGCACAAGTGTGGATATGTAAACACAGATAAGATGGAAAATTGATTTACCTGTCATTTTCCTAATTTTTTTGATTTATTAATGAGGATCCGTCTGAAAACAGTATGAGTTTATGGGGTCAGAGTTCATACGTTTCTTACTTCTTCCTGCTACGTTTGAAGCGTGTTAAGATTACTGTGCTACAAAAATATGTACCTTTTGCATTCCTTGTTCATGTGTGTGATTTTATGCTTCTATCATGTTCAAAATAAATAAATAAGATGCTACTCGCTATCTCAAGGCTAGCATATGGCAAGGCTAGCATTTGCCGATGTCAGTTGATCATTAATCAGAGAGTAGCTAGCTTCAGAATGGATGTAGCCTCTTGTAGCCACTGCTTGGTGCACGCTGGTCTTAATTTTGGCCTTAATGCCATGCCATAAAAACAAAGCACAGGTAATTCCCGATTGAACCAGCTGGTGGCAGCCTTTCTCACACAACAAATGAAGAAGCTTCTCACTGAACTCGCTTTTCTTCTTCTTTTGTCTCCAGGCCAACAGGACATTTTCTTGGATGCTCGGCTTATAAAACAGGAGAAATTTTCCAGACTGGACCAGGAGGAACCAAAACCTCCACAGATCAAAGAGGAAGAGAAGAATCCACGCCGCACTCAGGCCGAAAAGCAGCTTGAAATGAACCAGGAGACCAAGGCTGTGATTTTGACCTCTGCTAACGAAGAACAAGACCAAAGTGAATCCGAACCAAACCGGAACCACCTCAGAAGAACCAGCAGCGAAGCAGACACCTCACCCGTCTCAGAGAGTCGGAGCAACACAGAATCAGATCAGAAACCTTTGCAGTGTTCCCACTGTGGGAAAACGTTTGTGTGTAGAGCCAAACTGACGGCTCACACACGAGTTCACACCGGAGAGAAGCCATTTGTTTGTAAAATGTGTGGAAAAAGATTCAGAACCAATGATTGTTTAAAGCGACATCTGCTAATCCACACAGGTGAGAAACCTGTGATTTGTGAGATCTGTGGGAAAAGATTCAGTCGGAGCTGCTACTTATCAGTTCACACCAGAACCCACACCGGAGAGAAACCGTACGAGTGTGAGGTGTGTGGGAAAAGTTTCCCCAGCAACTCTGCCTTGCGCAGTCACACCAGTGTTCACACGGCGGAGAAGCCACATGCGTGTGAAGAATGTGGGAAAAGGTTCGGACGGAAGGGAACATTGGACAAACACAGGAGAACCCACACTGGAGAGAAACCGTATTTCTGTGAGACGTGTGGAAAACTTTTCAGAGATAACTACACCTTATCACAGCACATAAAAATCCACACTAAGTAATGAACCGGAGCGGAGTTGCTATGGTGACCACACGAGAAGTCGAGAATAATTCGTACTGCAGCAGAATGGAGCGTTGCTATGGACACTGAATCCAGACATAAATATTTTGTAAATCAGAATTCATAGTTAATAAGATTTTGCAGGATTGTAGAATAAAATGTATGAACATTTCACTAATTAGAACAAACTCAGAATCCAGAGAAACTTCTCATTACCTTAGACCAGTGGTTTCCAAACATGTTCTGCGCCCCCCCT